GATTGATTAAATCATTGGCCTTTGGAAATCAACTCAACCTTCAGCCCCTCTCCTCTCCCTGGAGGTGTGTGTGTGGGGGGACGGACTGAAAGTCCCTTTAATGACAAGGTTGGTTCCCCTGGTAACTAGCCCCCATCCTGAGACTATTCAGGAGCCCTCAATCAGTCAATCATTAGCATACAAAAATATCACTTTGGAGATTCCAAGGGTTTGGGGAGCTGTGTGTCAGGAAAGGGGATGAAGACCAAATATATATCACTTGCCAAGATTCATAATATTTACATTCTAATTTGTAATTATGGTGCCCATAGTTTAGTATTTGTTCTGTATTTAAATTGGGTCACAAAATTTAATCCTTTTATAACATGATCACCATTTCTAGATGACTTACTTTGATTCATCACTTGATTAGTTTGATTTCGTCATCAAGCAGTTTTCTTATGAAGGGTTCATGGGCACTGTATTCTTTGAGTTCTTGCGTGGTTAGACATGTATGCTTGTTGCCTTTTTTCTTTCCTATAGGATTTTCTAACTACAGGAATAATGTATGTTCTCTGAAGAACATGATAAAGCATAATTCTAATTTTGATGTTTATGTGAATTTTTCCATACGGGCATCCCTGTGTACCTGCAGTTGCGGAACACATCTGTACTATGCATTTTATATAAGGGATTTGAACATTTGTGAATGTTGATATCTGAGTGGGTCCTGGAACCAGTCCCCTCAGGATGCCAAGGGAGAACTGCATCTATCTAAGTCCTCATCTTCCCTTGGCTTCTAAGAAGCTACCCTCTTCTGATTTTCTCTTATCTTGTTCTCTTTCTCAGTTCTTCAGGCCTTGTTTACTCACTGTGGGCTTCTGGGTGAACCAGCAGCATTGGCCACAAATGGGAGCTTATTAAAAATGCAGAATTTTGTTGGCCTAGCTTCAGACCTACAAAATCAGAATCTGCATTTTTCACAGAATCCCTAGATGATCAGTAAGCACAATAAAGTTTGAGAACTATTGCAGTCTAGAGGCTACTACCTCTTCTTTTAATGAACCCTTAAATCTTTAAGTGTTGGGATCTCTCTTATTTTTATTTTAGGCAAGCTCATCTCTGTGACTCCCAATAGCATCCTAATCGCTAATCCTAGTTCATGTACATCAATTGCTTTTATGATGGCTCCTTTCAGGCATCTCATTCCTACTTTGCGATCATTGATTTCAGTATCTACCATAGTGCTAGATAGGTTCTGATTCAGAATATGCTATTTTTTACCTGGATGGAAGCCTCAAAATATAGTGATTTTAGCAAGTAAAAAAGCAGATATACTTTGCTTTATACATTTGAGTTAGGATTTATATTTCCTTTCTATTTACTGTGTCATAACCTTTGGTCAGACTTCTATTTTTATAGCAATTCTCTATCAGGTCCTTTTCCTGGGCTTTCTTCACTTCAGATCATCAATCTTACTAGACCTGTAACTTTTTTTCTATACCTACAAAACTTTCAGAATTATCTTCAGGAAAAATGGAGCTTTTAAGAAAAACATGATTTTTAAAAGTTCCTCATCTCTTTGCTACAGTTCTGGAAACTAAAATAAGTTCTGTTTTCTGCATTATTGTTTTATAACAACATTTGATTTTTAACTTTTGGCATTTTAAGCTGTTGAATTTTTCAGGAGACTTGCCTTAATTTTGTTCATGTGTGAGAAGCAAGTAAATCTTTACAGTAGAGGCAATGTTTAACATTGTACCTTAAGCATTTTCTACATAATACCTATCACAATGTCAAATAAATGTAGATAGTGCCTTTTTCACAAAAAGGCATTCTGGGAAGGAGAAAAGCCCTAAATATTTTGAATAGAAGAGTTTTATTTAACCAGATTCCTAATGCAAAGAGCAACTTTTTAGTGTGATACCTGTAATATTATTTTATAATAAATATTATGTAGTTTCCAAGAACTATTTTTGTATAAGTAAAGGAGGGGTAGCAATATTTCCATCCTGTCTCTTTTACTAAATTAAGAACGCAGTGGGCTGGCCCGGTGGCACACTCGGTAGAGTGCGGTGCTTGGGAGGGTTCCGATCCTATATAGAGACCTGTCCGCTCACTGGTTGAGCACGGTGTGGGTGCGACACCGAGGGTTGCGATTCCGTTGCTGGTCGCGGTACGGGCGCGACACTGAGGGTTGTGATCCCGTTGCCGGTTGCGGTACGGGCGCAACATTGAGGGTTGTGATCCCCTTACCAGTCACGAAAAAAGACAAAAAGGAAAAAAAAAAAAAAAAAACGCAGTGCATATGTTTTACTTTTTTCTCCTTTTGGTTTTCACAGTTCTCAGTCAGCCTAATTTGTATAAAGCAGTTCTTTTATTGTCCCTTTTGCAGGAAATATAGATAAAAATCATCAGTATGCTAACATAAATAACTAATTCATTGGTCGTTTTTCCATGTATAATCTTCCTTATTTCTCAAACCAATTTCCCATGTATGTTCTGTTTGTAACTTGTTTTACAATATATTATGATCCTTTTTCCATATCCAACTACATTCTCTGCTTGAAAGTTTTATTTTGTAAGTATTTATAAATAGAAATGAAGGTTGTCACGTGCAATTGAGAATAAAATTTAAGTCCATCTGCTTCCTTCTGTTGTTAAGTATGTTAGTGTGGCAAAGCAATGGTTAAATGCTCTGAAATTTCTAAGACAGCATTAAAGGCTGACTCTAAAATGTTTTGATTTAGATTAACATCTACTTTGGCTGGTTAACGCAGTTGGTTAGAACTTGGTGCTGATAACACCAAGGTCCAGGGTTTGTTCCCTGTGGCCAGCCACAAAAATGAATAAGAAAAAGATCAAAACCAAAAAACATCTATTTATATTTTATACCAAACTGGCTTGAGTTGTAGGCTTTAGAAAGTGTAGGTAAGGGCCGGCCCATGGCTCACTCGGGAGAGTGCGGTGCTGATAACACCAAGGCTCCGGGTTCGGATCCCATATAGGGATGGCCGGTTAGCTCACTCAGTGAGCGTGGTGCTGACAACACCAAGCCAAGGGTTGAGATCCCCTTACCGGTCATCTTTAAAAAAAAAAAAAGAAAGAAAGTGTAGGTAACAGTGCACTCTTGCTAAATTTTGGATTTTCGCTAATTTTGGATTCCATGGGTTTGTCTTAGTGAAATGTAGTTTTTGTGAAATTTTCAGCTCTTTATAAAACCAGTGTAAATAAATATTTTACCTAGTCAAAAATTAAAGTTTATTGTGCTAATAATTTGTTAAATGGTGCTTGATCTTTGGCAGACATGTTTGATCATCTTTACAAGCTTAAGGCATCTTTTAGAGCATTTATCTGGAACCAGCAAGGTCTAGGTCTCTAACTAGTTGATGACATATCAGGCAGCTGAGTCAGGTGTCTGGTGAAAACGTTTTGTTTTTTTTGTTTTTTGGTGGTTGGCCAGTAAGGGGATCCTATCAAGTAAATACTTAAATATTCTGGAATATATGCCACCTATGATATACATAAATTACCCATCCCACTTCATCCAGACAAAACCTATTCAAGGCTGGAAATATTCTGGTTTTACAGCTGAACCAAGTGGTGGAGGCAGGATTTGAATCCAAGTGTAGATGACTCCCAAACGCTTCCACTTTTACTGTCCTGACTCAGTTGTTAAGTTGAGGGGTTTGTCCATTGATTAATGGTTTACAGACTGTTCTGTAAGGCTCTGTGCAGACTTTTGGGAGTTTGGCAAACAGTGAACTATCTTTGCTTGAGGATAATTATTCTTACCTTGTTCTGTGCTTCTCAGTTCTCTTGGTTCTGTTTGGAAGAGTTTCTCTGCTTAAAAAATTTGAAGAGTCCTACTCTGGAAACCTAAGTCCTGTTTAGAATGAATATGTATGTATTAGAAAATAAAAATATAGGCAGTAGAAATGTATATTTGTCTGTGGGGCAGGCTGTATCTATTTTCAATTATATTTCTGTTTCTAATGATGTTTTGGGTAGCCTAGTATTAAAATGAAGTTGAGGTGATTGAACACACCATTAATAAAATGGGGAAGTGATTAGAGTTAAAATTTGGTGCTGAAAATTGGTAATGTACAATTCATTGCTTTGGGTTCACTAACAGCTCTTGCTGCGTTTAAAGGCTACCCTAAGCATGATGTAATGACAGGTTAAACCTGTGAATGCAGTGGCTGATGCAATGGAATTCTGAGGCCCAGGACTTTATTGGGGCAAGGGTAATGCTTGTTTAAAAACAAAATAAGCTACTCTACGTCTAATGAGACCATTTAAGATAGCTTTCCCAGAGTGAGAAGAGAATATAATCTAAATTTGGAGGTTGAAGTATGAGTTTTATGAGGCCTAAGTGTGTTTAGTACTCTCACTCCAAAGTCTATTCGTAGGGGGAAGGGGGAGTTTAAAATATGGTACCAACAGGAGTAGAAATGGAGACATAAGTTAGAATTGATGTGGTAGTTGATTCCTGATAAACAGTTATTGAATGAATGGTGGAGAACGCTTTCACTCTGAAAAAACGTAAGAGTTCGTTCACATGATTATCCTGGAGAGTATAATAACTGCAGAGAAGAGCGCCTGTCTGGCTACACATTTCCCATGAAAACATGAGAAACTACCGATATTCGACCGTTTCAGCCTACAGAAACGGAATGGTTCAACCTAAATTTAAACTTGTGGAAATGCTGAGGAGGGCATGTTGTCGCGGGAGTGGGGGGGTGGGGGGTGGGGTCGACGACAGGGCGGCGCCGGTTCAGAGCTGCCCAGGCCTGCAGGGAGCCCTGGAGCCGCCCTGGGCTGGGGGGCGGGGCTGGCTGGCGTAGCCCCGCCCTGTGCTGCCCAGCCCCTGTTTGAGGGAGCCGGGCAGCCGCCGCCTTGGGCGCGGCTAGTCCTGGGCCCGCCCTGGAGCTGTCGGCTAGAGCAGGCTTTCCCAGCCGCGTCCCCAGCTTCGGCCCCAGCCCTGGGCTCCAAATGGCACTCCTGGCAGAGAGACCCCTGCGGTAGCTCCAGAGCCGGCTGAGAGAGCGCACCTCCTTCTCTAGCCACCACCTCGTATCGTGCAGCCCCGGCCTTCACCCCAGATTGGAGGGAGCCTAGCCAGTGAATCTGGGGAAGACAAACTTATGAGAAAGACGAAGGCTTAAGGCACAGCGGAGGACAGCTCAGCAATGGCTCTCGTTTTTGGAGACGCAGGCGAATTTGAGCTCATAGGGAGGTGTGGTCGCCTCCTGGGGGGACGGAAAGGCTCCATTTCTCCGCCTCTGTAGCCGGTGCTTCTGAGGAGTGAATGGATGTTTGGAGCCTGACTTCAGACAGGAATTTGGGTCTTTTGTGCATAGCAGCGGAAGGTGTCCAGGAAGGGCCTCTGCTACAGATTGTCTTTGCTTCTTGGGGAAACGCAATGCGCTGCCTGACTTCTCATGACGGGAAAGCCTACCGTACCTTTTCTGTACTCCTGGAGGGGAGTCTTGCTTACATGTTTACCAGCGGCTAGGACAAGGAAGAGAAAAGGTATTGACATTAAGAGACTGGGTTTCTGAAACAAACTGGAAAGCTGTAAATCAGTGTAATCTGATGGGTTTAGGGGAATGGCTGTAGCATATAATTTAGCTCTTTCCGAGGTTCATAGTGATGTTTCATTTGAGCTGCTGTACTTTCCTCTGTTTAAGTCGAACTTTAGCTTACGTCCTGACTTTTGCAGGGTCATTCTTGGTTTCTACTGCAGGGCTGCTGTATGGTTGGGCATCCTTTTCTGTTTCGAGAGGGATCTTTGGGAGGTTTTAGCGGTTGCTGTTCTATAGTACCTCCGCTCACAAGAAATACCGGCCACATTTCACTTGTTTTTTGCACTTTTAAAAGGAATTAAACTGTACTTTCTACAATGTGCAAAATAATAAAGATATACTGTGAGCCTAAACTATTGATGATAAATGTCTAACTGTTTTGCTAGGTCAAGAAATTTAACAACAGTGTTTTCTTGCTTAGTAGCCATGTTAAATACAAAGTGAAATACAAACTGAGTTTACTGCCCTTTGTGATTAGCTGTTTTGCTTTAGTAATTTGGGAAGGCATTGGTGGCTTAGACTGTTTTGTACCCAAGGAAACACTTTTCGATTATTATGTTGCTTACTTAAGTGAGCAGCATAAAATGGACCATGACATAGGCATATAGCATAGACAGGGTGTTTGAGCAATGCTGAGTCCGTAAAATTGGTCATCATATTCACAAAGAATCTACTCAGAGGGAAACTAGATTACAGAACTCCTTTACAGTCTTTTTGTTTGGGGACAGAACACCTGGATTATACAGGATTTCAGATGATGAGAGTTGATTCATGTTCTTCTAAGTCCGTATGATGATGAACCACATTATAATGGAATTCTGTTATACTTTTGTTTGCCCTTGAACTTCCTTTAGTGACAGTGGAATTGATTTCTTTTTGGTACCCTCAGCCCCCATTTAAGGTGTCTGTTTGTAACCACTTTAATGTAGAACCCAGATTGCATTTACTTGGTAACGTTGGTAAACAACTTGTTTCTTATAAGTTAAATTCTTTTTTTTTTTTTTTCCTTTTTTCGTGACCGGCAATGGATCGCAACCCTCAGTGTTGCGCCCGTACCGGACCGTGACCGGCAACGGGATCGCAACCCTCAGTGTTGCGCCTGCACCTCACTCAGCCAGTGAGCAGCCGGTCTGTATGTGGGATCCGAACCCTCGGCGGGAGCGCCGCCACACTCCCAAGCGGCGCACTGTAGCAGTGCGCCACTGGTCCGGCCCTATAAGTTAAATTCTTTGTAAAAGAATAATGATTATAATTGAGGGGAAAACATTAGAATTTATAGAAATATGGCTTAGTATTTACTAGGAGTGCACTCTTAGAACATCAGCAGGTTCATTTTTTTGTCACTCTCAAGACAGACAGTGGCCTGCCATATCCCAGCAAAGGTAGATTCCTGGGAAAAGGTGCTCGTTTTATTTTATTTACTTATTTAATTTTTGACCGGTAAGGGGATCGTAACCCTTGGCTTGGTGGTGTCCCCACCACGCTGAGCCAGTGAGCACACCAGCCATCCATATATAGGATCCGAACCCGGCGCTATCAGCACCACACTCTCCCCAGTGAGCCATGGTTTATTTTTAATTCAGCCTGACTAGTTACATTGTTGATCATTTCTTCCATAAGACATTTATACCAGCCATCCATATATAGGATCCGAACCCGGCGCTATCAGCACCACACTCTCCCCAGTGAGCCACGGTTTATTTTTAATTCAGCCTGACTAGTTACATTGTTGATCATTTCTTCCATAAGACATTTATCTGTTAAATAATGTTTATTGTTTGCTGATGAATGTTTTAGCAACACTAGTGAATCCCATTGTGCAAGCAGTTCTCTCTACCTCTTGACTCCATCTCCCATCCTCAATGACATGTGTGTCTTTGTGGTGCTTTTTATCTTCATTCTTCTCTTTTTTACCTTCTTTTTCTGACTCTCCTTCCCCTTTGTACGTTATATCTCATTTATATTGTGGAATGGAAGTAGAGTAAAATGATGTACTTTCTTTAAATACCAGACAAAAAACTTGAGGCTGGCCCTCCATTTTTCTCCTTTGTCTCCTCACTTTTGAAGTGGGCATTGATTAGTAGGGAACAGGATTAATACCTAACTGATGATAACTTTTTGTGGCAAGACATACTAGAAAAAGATGTATAATGAGACGGCAGCAGACTCTTCCTCTTGTGTCCCCCTTACCCCCAAAATATACCTATAGAGCAGATACTGTCCACCATTAGGAAGAATTACTTAAATTTAAAGTCAGTAGTCTGATTCTTTGGAATTTGAGCTATAGTCTTTCCTTGGTATCCATGGGGGATTGGCTCCAGAACCCCCTGCAGATACCAAAATCCAGAGATGCTCAAGTCCCTGATATAAAATGATATGCTATTTACATATAACCTACACATATGCTCTTGTATAATTTAAGTCATCTCTAGATTGCTTATATCTAATACAGTGTAAACACTTTGTAAATAGTGGTTCTACTGTTACTGTTTTTTGGTTTTTTGAATGTTTTTGATCTGCGGATTTGTGGATTCACAGGGCCGGCTGTATAAAGGGTGCTTACCTGTAACTCCCTGTAGCTATCAGCTGCTGACTCAATCAGAAAGAAGTAGATGGAGTAAGGGAATAAGAGAGGCAGGAGAAAGTCCAATCAAAACTGATTCGATTAAACTTAAGCTTACACAGCATCACTTAGTTATTTATAGTTCTGTTTTTATTTTAATATTTCTTGTTCCATGTAGTTCATCCAAAATGATTTTTAGCACTTCTTTTAAAAAAAAAAGGAACACTAAATATTCTGGAACATTTTGAAAAGAGGGCATATCCAGTGTACAACCTCTAATAATCAAAATGGACATTTAATGTAATTTATGTTTCATTTTTGTGTATGTTTTGTTTTTAACCCTATTTCCTTTATTCTTTTGCTCACTGTAAATTTTGCATCAAACTTAAAGTATTTCTGGCATGTAAACATTTATAAAATAAATTATAGTTGTAATTGTTTTTCTCTCACCTCTTTATTTATTTATTTATCTTTTATTACAGAAATGAGCCGTCAGACTGCTACAGCATTACCTACTGGTACCTCAAAGTGTCCACCATCCCAGAGGGTGCCTGCCCTGACGGGCACAACTGCATCCAACAATGATTTGGCAAGTCTCTTTGAGTGTCCGGTCTGCTTTGACTATGTGCTTCCACCCATTCTTCAGTGTCAGAGTGGCCATCTTGTTTGTAGCAACTGTCGCCCAAAGCTCACATGTTGTCCAACTTGCCGGGGCCCATTGGGATCCATTCGCAACTTGGCTATGGAGAAAGTGGCCAACTCAGTACTTTTCCCTTGTAAATATGCCTCTTCTGGATGTGAAATAACTCTACCACACACAGAAAAAGCAGACCATGAAGAGCTCTGTGAGTTTAGGCCTTATTCCTGTCCGTGCCCTGGTGCTTCCTGTAAGTGGCAAGGCTCTTTGGATGCTGTAATGCCCCACCTGATGCATCAGCATAAATCCATTACAACCCTACAGGGAGAGGATATAGTTTTTCTCGCTACAGACATTAATCTTCCTGGTGCTGTTGACTGGGTGATGATGCAGTCCTGTTTTGGCTTTCACTTTATGTTAGTCTTGGAAAAACAGGAAAAATATGATGGTCACCAGCAGTTCTTCGCAATTGTACAGCTGATAGGAACACGCAAGCAAGCAGAAAATTTTGCTTATCGACTTGAGCTAAATGGTCATAGGCGGCGATTGACTTGGGAAGCGACTCCTCGATCTATTCATGAGGGAATTGCAACAGCCATTATGAATAGTGACTGCCTAGTCTTTGACACCAGCATTGCACAGCTTTTTGCAGAAAATGGCAATTTAGGCATCAATGTAACTATTTCCATGTGTTGAAATGGCAATTAAACATTTTCTGGCCAGTGTTTAAAACTTGCATTCAGTTTCACAGAGAATAAGGCACCCATCTGCCTGTCAACCTGAAACTCTTTTGGTAGATGGAAGCTAGACACATGAAGGTAAATAAAAAGAAAGGCTGTTAAACAATACAGGAAACAGTTGCATGTAGTAACACACTAATATATTTAAAAATAAGTCAACAGTAAACCACTGAAAAAAATATATATATATATATATACACCCAAGATGGGCATCTTTTGTATTAAGAAAGGAAGCATTGTAAAATAATTCTGAATTTTGTGTTGTAGATTGATTGTATCGTTGAAAATATTGTTTTGTTTTGGCACGCGTGCGTGTGTGTGTGGTTTTTCTTCCCTTTAACTGACAAGCCATCTTGAGTGGTCTTGGACCACTGCTTTTCTTTCCCTTTGTGAGTCAGTACATAGTGCTGCTGTGTGTGTGTGTGTGTGTGTGTGTGTATTTGCTAATTTTTATTAATTCTAGTTTTTCATTAAATAAATTTGACTTTCTTTTCTGTAATTCAGGTTTTTCCTCACTTTTTTTGTACCATTTTAAAGTTAGTATCTTTTTGATAAGCATAATTGTTTATGGTAAAGTTTATGTGTTCAATACATATTTTCTTTTCCCCCATTAATCAGTTCATCAGAAATATTTTTAAATTCAGCTATTTTGTGAAGATATGAGTTCCAGAAAGGAAAGGTGACATCAGAAAAATTATCAAAAGCTATTTTAAAGCAGCTATAAGATGGTCTCTCTCTTGCTCTCTTTATTGTTTCTCTTCATTTGAGTTATACCTTCAGACTTACTTTCTGAAAGGTTAGGGAATAAATTCTCATTTTTCATAAATATTGAAGAAAATCAGGCTTTTTTTCCTCCAAATACTTTGGACAAACCACATATTTAAAATTTGTTCTTGTATTTATTGGTTTTGCAAAATAAGGCATCGTTATACACAGTATTTGTAATTAAAAGCAGATCATTTGTTTAAAAACAGCAGTTTGCAAAAAAATGTTTTTGGTCTTTTATAATTATCATTAAAAGAATATCTGGCAAATTAAAAAATCAGGGCCGGCCCTGTTCCATTCTGTACTTTAACTATATAAACAGAAGTCAGTGTGCTGTCATTCTAAGGTGTGGTAGAGTTATTCTAAAGTGTAGCAAGACAGTATATGGCCTCTGGACCATAGAGTCTTATTTTTTTCCTCCCTTTTGCCAATATTTTGATTCTCACAACTCTCTGTTAGGGGAATGAACAAATACTGACCACTTTTTCCCCCCTTTAAGGAAAAAAAAAACCCACAATAAAAATGAGTTAATTTAGTATTTCATAGCCTAGTGGTTGAGAGCCTTGGCTCTGCAGCCAGACTTTCAGTAGGTGCCAGTCTTGGCTCCACCCCACTTATCAGCTGTGTGACCTTGGGCCCGAGTCTCCTAATGTGTAAAATGGGGTTAAAATTATGATTGCTACTTCAGAGGGTTAAATGGGGGTAAAAGTACGCTACCTAGAAGAATGCTTTGCAAATAATAAGAACCTAACAAATCCTATATGCCTTTAGTACCATACAGTTATCAGTCGTTAATTATCATGAGGCACATGGCAAGATTCTGAAATTGCCTTCTGAATGGCCAGAAAGTTTTATTTTGTAAGGTTTTTATGGGTGCCCTAAACCTAGAAAGTCAATGAAAATTAATTTGGGCATCTCCCTTATCCCACCAGCAATTATGGACAATTCTGGATAACAGAGTTTACTTCTGCTAATTATTTTCAGGAAAGAAGGCTGTGGTCTTTTCCCTACCTATGCATTGCTTTTTAAATTGGTTATGTGTTTGTGTAGTCATTTTTGAGGTGAAAGAGAACAGTTCAATAGCAAATTTATATCCAGGTCTATTTCTGTTGGCATGTGTGTTTAGAAAAGCAGCATTTATTCCGCATTTAATATACAGATGGTGCCTGATTTATGATGGTTTATTGGGATGTAACCTGTCATATAAGTTGAGGAGCTCTCTATAGCTTACAATGGGGTTATGGTTTCTACTGAATGTTTACCACTTTTGTAAAGTTGGAAAATTGTTAAGTTGGACCATTTTAAGTCAGGGACCATCTGTGCTCTGTTGGCAGCATTAAATGAATTTCTTCTTAACGATGTTTTTGATTTACCATGGCTTTATCCAGATGTACCCCATCATAAGCTGAGGAGCATGTGTATTGGGTATATTTGTGGGGGTATATCATTTTGTGTTTTTAACATTTTTAAATGTTTTGGTTATAAAAGTAATATATGCCCATTGCACAGACATTGGAAATTACAAAATGGCATGCACAATAGAGATCTGTAATCTTATGATCTACTCAGAGGTAACTAATGTTTTTATTTTTTTCAGTCTATTATGTGTATGAATATGTGCTTATACACATTTTTTTAAAAAAATATTAGGATGACACAATTATGTAACCCTCTCAACTATACAACATGATCATCTTAGCATTTCACCACTTTAATAATCTTGGAAAAATATTTTTGGTAAACTGTGAGGATTCACTGTAACTTTAGCCAGTTTCCTGTTGTATATTTACTTGGTCTAGGTAAATATTTTTTTGGCTATTTATAAATAACCTGTAAGCATTTCCATGTGTTTTCAGATTATATTCTTGGGATTTTTTAAAGTCTTGATATGTTTATTATTGCTTTTTAGAGAGGTTCCAGTGGACACTTACTAGTAGCAGCAGTGTGAAGGATTTTCCTTTTCACTGCTAATTTTTCCATTTTGCAAATTTAAGCAAGTTAAGATAGTAAGTTTTGTGTATATTCGACAGCTGATAAGGTTGACATTTTAATATTTGTTAATTATTTTTATTTCTTTTAAGTCATCTTCATAATGTTGGCCTACAGGGATGAAATCTATAGTCACATTTCTTGGCCCACTTAAGATTTGATTTATAAAGTATAATTCTTTTTCTTAAAGTACTTTTTTTTATAATGTATACTTTCTCCTAGTAATGCCCCACCCCTTCTTTTGGTGTCTTCTTTCAGGAGATTGCATAGGGTAGGTGTGGGTGATACTCTCTTTGTTCTTTTGCTTTTGTACTCTTAAACTTGAATTTGACTTGTTGAATTGAATCATGGGCCAGTTTAGTATATTAACGATCACTGGAAAACAGTTTATCCTTTTGCTTTGAGTAATTTTTATTGTAATATTTATGACTTTTTTTAAGGCCCTCATTTCTGCAAACTTTTAAAGTTTATGTGAGTGGACATAGATAGCTTAGCTCACCAAAAGTGTGTCTCTCCCTTCCCCCTAGAGCTCAAGAGCTCTTTATATTCAGGAACATCTGCAGTGATTCTACTAATGGTAGAATTTTATTTCATTCAGATTCCTGAGTGGAAGAATTGGTAATCCAAATAAAAAAATACTGGATCAAACTAAATATACCTGGGGTCTACTCTGTGATTACTGCGTTAGAATGGACATGATGAGTAAGATTAGAACATAATAGGGTGAAGTGTGTGTGTGAACTACCAACTAGTACTGTGGTCATCTGTATTAGTTGTACAAGAAAGGTACAGATAAGTGTTATGGAAACGTGTAGACTGAATGCACTGCTGGAATCTCTGTCATTCCCCTCCCCACTTAATCCAGTGTGCATGTTCAAACAACAAAGGATTATATGGTGGTTTACTGCATATGATCTTAAACTAGTTAGATTATTTACCAGAAGAAATTCATTTCTCTAAAAATGGCATTATCCAAACAAAATTCAGTTTAATACTTACCAAGTACCTACTAAAATTTGGTGGTGAACAGGTGGGCTGTGGTTCTAACTGCCTGGGTTGAATTCTGACCCTGTAACCTACTTGTATTTACCCTCTTTCTGCCTGGTTTCTCCTCTGTAAAAGGGTCTAATGGTATCTACTGCATAAGGGAACGAGGAAGGCCAAATGTGCTATCATTATGCCTGGCACTATATCCCCACTGTCATGCTTAACCAGACATTTTCCCTGTACTTATATAGATCTAAGAAATTTCTTTGAAAAATTTATTATTATAAATGTAATTTTCATAGGCCTTTCTAAATTCTGAAAAGTGTAACAGATTTGCAGACATTAATATATAAACATTGGTATGAAAGAATACTCAGTTTTGTAAAGTCACATTTTGACAGGCTTGCACTGTCATGTAAAGATTAGGATTTATGCTAAAGGGTTTCAGGATCTATTGTGTAGAAAAGTGCTGACAGTATGTTGAACTTATTTAAAAAATTTTAAGGGGCTGGCCCGTGGCTCACTCGGTAGAGTGTGGTGCTGATAACACCAAGGCCTCGGGTTCAGATCCTATATAGGGATGGCCGGTTAGCTCACGGTAGAGTGTGGTGCTGATAACACCAAGGCCTCGGGTTCAGATCCTATATAGGGATGGCCGGTTAGCTCACTTGGGAGAGCGTGGTGCTGACAACACCAAGTCGGGGTTAAGATCCTCTTACCAGTCATCTTTAAGAAAAAAAAAATTTTTTTAAGATAAAATTTCTTATTAGGTCCAAAAATGTTAAATACATAACTGTTCTTTATTTCATTAATAGTGCAAACTATAGTGAATTTTTATGACAAAGCTTTTCCTAGAGAATTTTAAAAATCCTTTTGATACAACTGTTTTAAAACATCTCAATGGCCATTTATCGGATTTGCCTGTTGTGTCTATTCAGGTCTTTTTAATATTTCCTTCCTGTTTTTGTTTTTTTTTTTAAAAATAATGAGGGCAATTTTCATTAAGGATCAATAAATGTTAGTAAAACAAGACAAAAAATAAGCATTAGTATTGGACTGTCAAATTGGATAATGACTGTTGTGGCAGTCGGCTAAGGCTATGGCTCTTGTTGCTCTTTTAATCCTGTTCATGACGCCAATTGTAAAGCTAGGCCACCATGCCAGGGCTCTTTTACCTGCTGGTAATCCTGCACTGACTGGGCCAATTGTTGAGCTAGGGCTGGGTCTGGTCCTCACAAACCCCTCAAGCTCATTCACAGACTGGGTCACAAACCCTTCACATGCCAGGCTGGGTCCCCAGACCCCTTCACACAGGTCTATGTGCTAGGTAACCGGCCAAAAGGTCCTTGGAAGCTGTAGGTTTGGAAAAGCATGGCTGCGTAGGGCAGACGCCTGAGGCCGACACCCACCCGCCTGCTTCACTAAACTCTCTCTCTCTGAAGAACACAAGAATAGCAACAAAACTAAAAAAGATACATTGGTGCACATGTGCACTAACTCCACACACGCACACACACACGCTTACAAAAATTGCTGAACCACACCCAACTGGACCCGAGGCGAGGTCCCTGACCAAACTATTCTATTTTCTCAACAACTGTAGGTTTATTTATTTTTTTTAAGTTGCTGAGTAAGATTTTCATGGGGATTTGGGCTTAAGTACAACTAATCATTTTGGCCAAAATAATGTGAGCTTGAACATGTTACTTCATTAAAAAAAAAAACAAACCCAAACTTCTTGATGTTTATATCTAATAATCCCAGTTAAAATAAACTTGAGATTTGGAAAGGGAATTGGCAAAATTAACATTCTTTGTGTCTTAGTGTCAGGTCCCTTAGTAATAAGATTTATCTCATTTCAGTAGTTCATAAAGGAAAATACTGTCAGCCCCCTTTACCTCAGCAATTGATTATGTGACAACATGGTTGATTTTGGTAAATGTCAATGTGGACCAATCACCTAGTACAGGAAGCTCATGGTGGTTGCACATCACTAATCACTGTGTCCAGATGGGAATCAGAATCCTCTGCATTTCAGGCACCCATTAGAGATGGCGTTGGAAATGAACCCCATTTACATCCCAATTCTTCTTATGAAGATGATTGGTGGTATGGCCAGAATACAAATCTTGATTGATGTCAGAGGAAGAAAAGGAGAGAAGAAAACCTTGTATTTCAAGTCAGTACATACACTTTTTCCCCTTACGTTTTTTAAAAAATTCAGATGTTTAATATCTTTTGCAATCGGGAAACCCTAACTATGGTCACAGATTTATCAACTCTTAAATATTTAGGAACAAT